GGAGAAGGTGAGAAGGAAAACGAAAAGCAGCAGTGACTTATAAGAGACAGACTATAATACACTGGAAATACCAGCAGGTGGAATAATAATGAGACCAAAAGTAAGGCCTTGTTGATATGTGGCTTGTGTGGAGTAAATACAGAGGTCAGTAGTGTTACTGAGAGCTATGTGAGGCCATTGTTGACACCTGCCAGTTCTTTTCAAGATTAGTCTAAACACTGGTTCAGATTAAAACAATATTGGCTTGTTGATGTTAACATTATTGTTCGATTGCCTTAAATACAAAAGTCAAAGTAGAGCTTATAGTCCAGTTTGGGAAACAAACATTAAACAAACACATAAATATATAAATACAGATGGTAATAATACGGTGTATAAGACATTTGTGAATATGCAAAAACGTGTTTGGGAACAGCAAGTACTCTTTGTTGACTGGAACACCAAGACTGTGGTGAGAAGTAGCAGAAAAAGACTGCAAAGGAGACTTGAGAGACATCACACAAAACTTTACAATGCTAATTAAAGAATCTGAATTCTCTTAGGTTGGCTGAAGGAAGTTGAAAAAGATGTTTTGAGTAGAAGAGTAACATGATAAAAGGCAATTCAGGAAAATTAATCAGACAGAAGTGTGCAGGATGAATGGGGAGGAGAATAAAGAGTCTGGAGGCAGAAGATGAGTCAGGAGGCTATGGGCAACATGTGAGATAGAGATGGTAAAGTCCTGTAGAGGGCATAGGGCATCTAGACCTAGGGGCTGAAATCCAGCCTGCACTCCATTTGCCCAGCCCTGCACCTAAAGGCTTGCACCTGGGTGTCTTTTTCTATTCTCACCAAGGGGCCATATAAGCAGTGGCTCCAGGCCTGTATTACTCTGTTTTATCTCTCCTCTAGTGAGAGAATTGACCCATTTCAAAAAGACTGTGGGAGTCTAAAATACTTCTTTTACAGCATTGCAATGTCCAGGGTGAAAACTAAAATATCAAAATCAATGACCGAGAAGAATATATGACATCTTACAACAGCTCTTTTGATGTCAGGAAAATTTTGAGCCAACCTTAAAAACAAATCTTTAAAGTTGCATTTGTGAAACATCCTCAACCCCTCAGGAATGGAACAAAAACCAGTGCTGAGATGAAGGTGAGGGGCAGAGTAAGACTCAGATGAAGATTTAGTCATCATCCAGCATGCAAACCATATGCAATCCAGAGTCATTTGTTTAATAATGGAATTTATTCTAGTTTCCATTTCAAGAAGTAGAAAGTAGACACCTGTGCTTGCTGATAATGCAAGGTTTGATAGGGTATATATTAAATACTGGATGGAGTGGGGGCAGGGAAAGGTATTTGGGAAATGGAAAGGAAACCCATGATTAAAACAATATTGAACCGATTGGATTTATTACCCAACTCTGCTATATTTCTTGTAGTACACTTTGTGGTTGTCTTCTTCATCCATTACACCCCTCTTCTGTTGTGGAACAGCCATAAAATTAGAGGAATTTATCTCCAAGCATTAGCCCCAACTTGTCTAATTGATTGGAATAATCCCATACCCCATTCTATAGAGATTCACTCAGAGAAAAGCAGATACAAATTAGTCAGTGAATGACATTTCCATGGTCATAGAAATTGATTCAGGAATGAGCATAACTAACTGGGGCCAATGAGACATGTGGTTTGCTAGTAATTTCCAGGAAAAAATTGTTCTTACTTTTTTATGAGAGCCTATGGAAGCAATTCTCTTAGTGTCCTGACATAGAAAAGGAGATTGTTGGTAGCATGCTATGTATACAAAGGGAAAGCTAGACTTGGGTTGGAGCTGAACACCAGAAGCCATATGGAAAAGATAGAAAATAATTAGATTTCTTTTTTTTTTTAAAGATTTTATTTATTTATTTGACAGAGAGAGATGGCGAGAGAGGGAACACAAGCAGGGGGAGCCGTAGAGGGAGAGGGAGAAGCAGGCTTCCCGCTGAGCAGGGAGCCTGATGCTGGGCTCAATCCCAGGACCCTGGGATCATGACCTGAGCCAAAGGCAGACGCTTAACGACTGAGCCACCCAGGCAATAATTAGATTTCTGATGACGTTGCTGAACAGCTGAATCAAACCTATTTGAAGCCCCCTTATGCCTGTTGACATCCAGTTACATGAGCCAATAATTCCCTTTATTATTTTTTCAGTAATTTATTGAGGTATAATTTACATGCGTTAAAATGAACCAATCTTAAGCATATAGCTTGATGACTTTTTACATATGTACACACTCATGGGGCCAACACACAGATCAAGATATAGAACATTTCTATCAGGGGCGCCTGGGTGGCTCAGTAGGTTAAGCATCTACCTTCGACTCAGGTCATGATCCTGGGGTCCTGGGATCAAGCCCCGAATCAGGCTCCCTGTTTAGCAGTGAGTCTGCTTCTCCCTCTCCCTCTGCCCCGCCCTCCCACTGCTCATGCTCATGTTCACCCTCTCTCTCTCATAAATAAAACCTTTAAAAAAATTTTTTCTATCATTCCAGAAAGTTCCCTTGTACTCTTTTCTAGTCAATATCCGTTCCCCCAGAGAGAACCATTATTCACCTAAATGGAATCATAAAGTATGAATTCTTTTATGTATGGCTTTTTTCACTAAGTATGTCTTTGAGAATCATCTATGTTATTCCTGTGTATCAGCAGTTTGTTGTAAGTCTCAGTAGTATTCCATTATATAAATGTAGCATACATTGCTTATCCCTTCTCTCTGTGATAGACATTTGATGTGTGTGTTAGTCAAGACAGGATTAGATGTGCACTTATTACAGGGTATGCTTGATGGGGAACATGGAGTTAGTTAGGAACTAAGGAATACTGTGAGAGCCATCAGACCTCAGTGCAGATGGAGGAGAAAGGAAAGGAAGGAAGGTTGAGTGGAAGAGTCTTAGACTGCAGTGCAGTTCTAAGAAACTTAGGCAAGACCAAAGTTACCCATCAGAACAGTCTTGCATCTCCCAGAACAGGCCTGCCTTAGTACACCTTCTACATTTAGTCAGTAGAGCAACCTGTGGAAACCATGGCCTCTGGGTGAATGCAGGGATGGATTTTAGAGCACAGCAGCTAAGATGGCCAATAAAGTATCACACACACACACACACACACACACACACAGCCAGAGATCTAAGAAGAGCACTTTCATGGCTACCACAGTCCATCCTTGTACCTCACAGATGTACTTCTCCATGCAGGATCAGGAAGCAGATCCTCTGTTGTTCTGTAACTGAGGGGAAATTCAGAAGAGGAAGATTGGTGGAGTGACCTACAACCCTCATTGCTGAAGTTGGTCTTGGGGCCAAAACTTCATCCTCATCTTCATCCTCAACTTATCTATTCTGAATTCCCCTCACTCTCAGTTGTCACCTCAGGAGGTCTTAGAGCTTGCTTAGGAGTGTGACCCAAACCCTCAGTCCTTAGGGTTCTGAGCCCTTAGTAATCCTAGGATTGTTTCGTGTGTCTGTTCACAGTTACAGGGGCAAAGGAATACCAGAGTGTGTATATATGTCTCCTAATGTGTATATATGTATATCTTAATGGTTCTCTTTCTCTGAAGAACGCTAATGCAATAACTGTGTTCCATGTGCACATAATTCTTTCTTATCCTTTGTCTTGATTAAGATAGAAAAGAATGCATTGTCAACTCAGTGGCTACATACTGTGAACCTAAGGCTGTATTAATCTAATTTAGCAATGATACCATGTCTGGTATAGCAGTTGCACTTGGGGCTGCTAATTGGTTGAGTAATCTAACAACCAGTCTAGGTTTATGGCAATCTACAGGCATCCTGTAAAATCCCTCTAGTTTCTGGAAGGGTCACACTGGCAAATTAAATGGAGGTATAGTAGGAATAACCACTCCCTGCATCCTTTGCATCCTTTTGATCTTTAAATGTGACACTAATCTCCTCTATCCCCCCACTCCCACTCTAAGAACACACAGAGTTGGGGCATTTTCAGAGGCTTACACTTGGCCTTTCCCACTAGGATAATTTATCCTACAGGCTAAGAACTCAATGTGGGAGTTACCCCTACTATCAAGTATATGAACTCCAATTATACATGCATGTTAAGGACCAGGAAAATAACTAGAAATGACTATATGGTCTCTTGTGGACCCACTGTAGTTCAGAACTTGTCTAGGATTCCATTTATTACCTGGCCTCCGTGTGCCCCCACTCTCTAACATGGGGATCATGATGACATTTCAGATCTCTGGGTATCAATCACTATCAATTCAAATCCTGTCTCCAAAAGTCCTCAAAATATCTGGATATTCCCCTTTCCTCAGTATGTAGCTATTCAAATAGTGGCCAGAGGTTTTTGGGCAAATCATTATGACAAAATTTACTGTGGTGTGGCAGGATCCTTCTCCCTGGGAACTCAGTCCCCTTTCAGTCAATAGGTTCCAGTCTGGAAACTGGCTCAGGTCTAGAAACAGGGCAAAAAATCATTACCTTTTTTTTTAAGATCATTATTTTTAATTGAAGTGACTTCAATTTGTTTTTGTACTTAATTTTATTATTCATAATTTTATGTTCTTTTTCCTTTTTTTTTTAAGACTTATTTATTTATTTGAGAGAGAGAGTACATGCACAGAAGGGAGGGGCAGAGGGAGAGGGAGAGAGAGTTTCAAACAGACTCTTTGCTGAACACAGCGGGCTCATCATGACCCCTAGATCAGGACTTGAACCAAAACCAAGAGTCAGATACTTAACTGACTGTGCCATCCAGACACCCCTATATTCTTTTTCATAAAGAGAGCCCCCAAGATTGCATAGACTCCTGGCCACACAAAACTTAGATCTGCCCCTCTTTCTGAAAAGTAATGAGAAATAATCAACAGAACCATATACAAAAAGAGATCACAAACAAGACTGTCTAGACCTGAGTCACTGAGCTCCTAGCCCTGGGGCTCCTGATATGACCATGTCTAGGAACTGGATGGGTCTTAAGATCTGGAACGTAAGTGAACTTATAGGTGGGTTAAAGAAGCCCCCAGCTCTGTGGATGTATAAGAAGTGAACCATGGGGCGCCTGGGTGGCTCAGTCGTTAAGCATCTGCCTTCGGCTCAGGTCATGATCCCAGAGTCCTGGAATAGAGCCCCTGGAATAGAAATAAATAAAATCTTTAAAAAAAAAAAAAAAAAAGAAATGAACCAAGCAGAAAGTCACCTTGTTAAAGTCAGGTTACCTAGTCGGTTAAGACTCTGCTACAGGGTTAAAATAATAATATTGACTAGCTTTTATTGAACTCTTTCTATGTGCCACACAATATACTAAGCACTGACTATATTATCTCACTTACTAACTTTATTAACCCTATGGGTTCAACAACATTTCAGCTATTACAGATGAGGAAACAGGTTTGAAGAGGTTGACCTGCCCAAGATCACACACAGTTAAGGTACGTTGAAATTCAAAACCATGTCTCACTTCAAGCCTTTGCTCTTAATCACCTTATAATGTCTCTAAAACATGCTGTGAAAAAACTGTTGTGATAACTCAAAGAGCATCGCGAAGACTTTTACTCAATTCCCTCTGCTTTGCAGCAGCACTTACATCACCTCAACCACACTGATTTTAAATTCCACTGAAGGTTGCATAGTAATGAATCACTGACTTGTTTAGAAGTCAATGAGAATCAGCATCATTAAAGAAGTACAGTTCTGGGGCAGAATGGGAGAAGGGGAGTGGGAAATACAGGCTTCCAGTTATGGAATGAGTAAGTTGTAGGAATAGAAGGCACAGCCTAGGGAATATAGTCAATGATACTGTAATAGTGTTGAATGGCGAAAGATGGTAGCTACACTTGTGGTGAGCGCAGCATAACATATGGAGATATTGAATAACTATGTTGTACACCTGAAATTAATGTAACATTATGTGTCAAATATACTCAAATAAAAAAATAAAGAAGTACTATGCCAAGTTTTCACCTGTTCATTTCAAGTTCACTTTTCACAGGCTTGTAACAGCATTGCTTCCTTAGAAATCACATTATAGTGTGGACTCTGCTAAGAGGGCAGCCTGAGAATGCTGCCCAGCAGGTAAGAACAGGATGCAGGTCAAGCAGGGATCCTAGGGATGAGAGAAAAAGGGAGGAGAGATCATATCAACGGCAAAGAACCCAGAATTAGTCCTTTGTCCAGAAAAAACCAAGGATGCTGGCTGCTTCTTGCCATTTCTTGCCTCTTCCCTTCTACAGGGTATAATTAGGAACCAAAGAATTTAGATCTCAAATGTCTTTATTCTTCTAATCATTCAGCCAAAAGCTCCTGTGGAGTATATAGCTTGTGTTCCTGCTTTGGACTACCAGTGTAACTGCTGCTAAACTAACTATTTTGCCTTTTAATTGGTTACTTCTCAAATAGGATCTTGCTTGCAATGAGAGAACAGGAAGAACTGTCACTATAGTTACCACTATCAGTCTTTCTTCTTGAAAGATGGCAATCATGGTGGAATCTTTGGAATTTCTGGCATTTCTTTTCTATTTCATATGTTAAGGAAGTTTGCACAGATATGTTAAGCAAAACCTCTTGACCCTAATTTCTGCTTTAAAATATTTTTTAACTTGGTTAATTCTCTGACCTACTTCCCATGGTATGTATTCCAAATCTTCATCAAGATTCTACTTAAAGCCCTCAACCTGTACTCATTAGATAAGCTATCTCCCTATTCTACCAAAACAATAAGCCATTGGCCAGTCTTCATCTGTCCTCCTTTCCATCTCTAAATATCACAACCTTCCTTTCTGCCTTCTTTTTCATCTTGCTTCCTACCAAAATTAAACTCTGCCTATATCCTCAATCTCACCCTCTCTAGGTCCTTTAGGATCTTCCTGCCACAATTATCTCCAATTTTTCAAGTGTTCTCGATTTCTCTCTCTCCACTGGGTCTTTGCACTCCGATTTTCAATATGTACAAAATCTCTCATTCTGAGGGGAATGGAGCCTCCAGTTGACTCCTCAGTTATCCCTAAATTCTGTTATATTTCTTTTTTTTTTAATGTTTTATTTATTTATTCATGAGAGACAGAGAGAGAGAGAGAGAGGCAGAGGGAGAAGCAGGCTCCCAAGGAGCAGGGAGCCCGATGCAGGACTCGATCCCAGAACCCTGGGATCACGACCTGAGCCGAAGGCAGACGCTTAACCATCTGAGCCACCCAGGCGCCCCCTGTTATATTTCATATTCTTCATTATCAAACTTTTTGAAAAATGTGATACACTCCTCACCACTATATTGTTAATGCCCTGGAGTCCATCCATTAAGGAAAACTCACAGCACCAAATACCTCTGTAACTAGGGATAAAGGACGGTGGCTGAAATGAGGATTGGGTAAAAACCTGTTTGAGAAGTGACTACTTCCCTAGGTCTTCTAAATTCCATGTGGCTGCCTAACTGTCCCCCTGTTACCACAGTAGAAGTCTGGAACTGGTTTTCTACGGAAGATGTGATAAGGACCTCTGGATTAGGGGATTCCAGGCAAAGTTAAGGTTTTGGGTACCTTGCAAAAACATGGAGATCAAATGACCATATGTATACTAAATGCTGAGGTGTCTCTAACCCATCCCCCACACTGCTTCCAGAGCATTGGCAACAGCTTAACCTCTACTCCTCAGGCAGGAAATGCAAGACTCCTTTCTGAGGAATCAATCTACTATCCTAAGAGAAAGACCTAAAGACACTAACATCATGGGTTTCCCCAACAAATGGCTTATCCGGGTCTGTCCACAGGGAGACTCAAAGTCAATAAACTCCACCTCATGCTCAAGCTTCCAGTGAGCTCCTTAACTTGTAATCATGAACAGACAACCAAAAATTATCATCTCTCTGAAGAAAGCTTCTGATATGAAAGACATAGATCATAACAACCAAACAGTAAACAGAAAAAAAAATCTCTGGCATGGAGGAGGGTTGGGGGATAGGGTAATGGGGTGATGGATGTTAAGGAGGGCATGTGATGTATTAAGCATTGGGTATTATATAAGACTGATGAATCACTGAACTCTACCTCTGAAACTAACAATACATTATATGTTAATTAATTGAATTTAAATTTTAAAAAAAGAAAAAAATTTCTGAGGAAATAAAGCCTCTTTATGGAGTAGAAAATTCCTCAGAGAAGGACACCTAGGTGGCTCAGTCAGTTAAGTGTCTGCCTTTGGCTCAGGTCATGATCCCAGAGTCCTGGAGTCCCTCATCGGGCTCCTTGCTCAGCGGGGAACTTGCTTCTCCCTCTGCCTGCCTCTTCCCCTGCTTGTGCTCTCTCTCTCTCTCTCTGACAAATAAATAAATAAAATTTAAAAAAAGAGAATTCCTCAGAGAGAAGAGAGAACACATCTATAAAACAAGAATAGGATGTCATTAATAAATTAATAAAAGGAGCATTCAGAATGAAAATAAAAATCCTCTTAGGGGTGAAGGGCATCAAAGGGTACAAACTTACTGTTGTAAAATAAATAAGTCATAGCGATATAATGTACAGCATGGTGACTATAGTTACTACTTTATTGCACATTTGAAAGTTGCTAAGAGAGTAAATCTTAACAATTCCCACCACACACACAAAAATTCCGTAACTATGTATAGTGATGGATGTTAACTAGACCTACTGTGATCATTTTGCAATGTATACAAATATTGAATCATGTTGTTTACCTAAAACTAATACAATGTTTTATGTCAGTTATACCTCAATAAAAAAATAATTACAGAAACAGGAAAAAAACTTGGAAATTAAATACAATGATAGCAGAAATCCAAATATTAATAGATAAATTTGAAGAAATCTCTTAAAAGTACTCCAAAAATGAGTTAAAGGTGAAAAATAAGAGAGAAAAGGTGAAAAAGTTAGATGACCAGTCCAAAAGTTACAACATCAGAATAATAGGCATCCTAGAAAAAGCAGAGGGGAGGGAATCATTAATGAAACAATTCAAGAAAATTTCCCAGAATTCAGGTTTCTAAATTTGAAAGAGCCATGGCAAAAAGTTTGAAGTGACTAGAGCATGAGGAGGTTAGGACCACTTAGTAAAGGACCTTTTAAGCCATTCTTAGGAGCTTAAATTTTATCCAGTAGGCACAGCAGAGATTTTTAAGTAGGGAATGACCAGATTAGATTGTATATTAAGGAGCTGGGCAGGGTTGCATTAGGATAAACAATGGTGTGGAGAAGAGAGAAAATAATTACAAAGAGAATGATTCCAAAATTATTTAAAATGGTTAGGAAAGAAATGTTGAAGCAGATTTAAGAGCTATTTAGGAGGTGGACTAGGCGAAATTTGAAAGAAATTAAAGTAGAAAATGTTTTCTAGGTTTCTCATTTATATTGTATAGTAAAAATTAAAGTCAATAACCAAAATAGAAAATTCAAGAGTGGAGATTTAAAGGAAAGGATTACATGTTCACTTTGGGACATTAGGCTTGAGGTGCTTGTGAGACATCTAGGTATAAATGGACTGAAGCTCAAGAGAATATCTTAGGGGGCACCTGGGTGGCTCAGTCGTTGAGTATCTGCCTTCGGCTCAGGTCATGATCCCCAGGGTCCTGGGATTGAGCCCCGCATCAGGCTCCCTGCTCGGTGGGAAGCCTGCTTCTCTCTCTCCCACTCCCTCTGCTTGTGTTCCTGCTCTCGCTCTCTCTCTCTGTCAAATTTTTTTTTTTTACAGAGAGAGACACAGCGAGAGAGGGAACAGGCAGGGGGAATGGGAGAGGGAGAAGCAGGCCTCTCACGGAGCAGAGAGCCCAATGCAGGGCTCAATCCCAGGACCCTGGGATCATGACCTGAGCCGAAGGCAGACAATTAACAACTGAGCCACCCAGGCGCCCCATAAATAAAATCTTTTAAACAAAAGAGAGAGAATATCTTAGGACAAGGGAGAATTTGGTCCAGCTTAGGGTAAAGGTTGGAATCTTATGGAAGAAATGGGTCACGCTAAGCAAGTGTATAGAGTTGGAGAGTGGGGCAGACAGGGAATGAAATCAAATGATCACCAACAATTAGGAGGTGGACACACAGGAAGAAGTGAACAAAAGAGAGTGGAGTTACACAAGAAGCAGATAATGAAAGTGAACAAAAGAGAGTGGAGTTACACAAGAAGCAGATAATGAGAATGGCCAAATGAAGAATGGAAGTTAAGAAGGGAAGGCAAAACAAACAAAAAAGCATTGAAGAGGTGAAATAAGATAAAGATAGGGAAAAATTGGGTTTGACCATTAAGAGATTCAGTTTTAATATTGTGGTGGGTCATACACCAGATTTTAGTTTCTTAAGGATTGAATAGGAGAGGAAGAAATGAGGACATATAAACACGAAAGACTGTAATACAAGGCAGTATGTGTATTATGTTAGAAGATAAACATATAGGGGCAGCTGCGTGGCTCGGTTGGTTAAGCATCCAGCTCTTGATTTTGGCTCAGGTCATGATCTCAGGGTCGTGGGATCGAGCCCCACATTGGGCTCTGCGCTCAGTGGGGAGTCTGCTTGTCCCTCTCCCTCCACTGCTGCCCATCTCTAAAGTAAATAAATAAAATATTTTTTAAAAAAGAACATAAACGGGGCACCTGGGTGGCTCAGTTGGTTGAGCAACTGCCTTCAGCTCAGGTCATGATCCTGGAGTCCTGGGATCGAGTCCCGCATCGGGCTCCCTGCTCAGCAGGGAGTCTGCTACTCCATCTAACCCTCCCCCTTCTTGTGCTCTCTCTCTCTCATTCTCTCTCTCTCAAATAAATAAAATCTTCTAAAAAAAAAAAAAGAACATAAACATATATTCTTCTACTCTGTTAGTAGCAGTCTGCTGTCCATGGTCTGTTGTCTACATGGTAGCTGCCTTCCTGCTGGACTCCAAACTACCCAGACAACACTGCCTTATTCCAACCTCTAATACTCATCCCCTTGCCTATTCAACAGGAGAGCACATTCTGCTTCCTAGAACCAGCAGCTCAGTAGAGCTGATGGGCCCCTACTACTCAAGATTTTCTTCCATTCAGCTCTCTTCCTTCTAGAACACCCAGAAAGGGTTGGAGAGGAGTAGATTAAATTATGGTCAGCACAATTTCCCCACACCTGCAACTTTTACAGCCACCATTCTCTAGGACTTGTCATGTAGTCTAGTCCCTGCACCAGACTTCTTCATTCATGTTTTTCTCGCAAATGTGCTATGAACTCTCCCTCAAATCCTGTCCTGCAAACAAATATGTATATGCCAGAATTCAAACGTGGGCCAAGTTCAGGTTCTTTCTCAGATTTCTGGACTTGAAGCAAACCACAGAATTTCACTGGAAATATTTTTCACTTTCCTCAAAAGTTCCATGGCAAATAAAAGGCTGGAGATAGATAGGAAATATGGAGAAAAATATTAATAACTAACATAAATTGAGCACTTACTATGCATCAGACACTAAGCTAAATCCTTTATATATATTTTACAGGTAAGGAAACTGGATTCAGAAAGTAACAAAGTAATGTGGTTGCTAAATAGCAGAGATATTATTTGGAACCTATGCAGTGTTGGTCCAGAGTTCTTGCTAGATTAAGGGCAAGGAATTAAACTCTGAATAAAAAACAACACAAGTACATTGTCTCTGCCCCCAATTATCCATTTTTAGTTGGAAGTTCAGTTTAATAAAAGGACAAGAAAGTAAATAAAGGAAATGTCAAGGAAGCGTAAGAGCCAAATACATAAAACAAGGTATCAAAAATAGAATCAAACATCAGTTATGATGATAGAAGCAAGCAAGTTAAAATCTTACATTAAAAAAAAACTTGGGGCGCCTGGGTGGCTCAGTCGTTAAGTGTCTGCCTTTGGCTCGGGTCATGATCCCAGGGTCCTAGGATCGAGTCCCACCTCGGGCTCCCTGCTCAGCGGGGAGTCTGCTCCTCCCTCTCCCACTCCCTCTGCTTGTGTTCCGTCTCTCTGTCAAATAAATAAATGAAATCTTTTAAAAAATAAAATAAAAATAAAAATAAATAAAAACTAGGGGTGCCTGGGTGGCTTAGTTGGTTAAGCAGCTGCCTTCAGCTCAGGTCATGATCCCAGGGTCCTGGGATCGAGCCCCACATCAGGCTCCCTACTCAGCAGAGAGCCTGCTTCTCCCTTTCCCTCTGCCTACCACTCTGCCTACTTGTGCTCTCTATCTCTGTGTCAAATAAATAAATAATATCTTTAAAAAATAATAAATAAATAAATAAAAACTTACATTGAAGGACTAAGACTGAAGAATTCATGTCAAGCTGATAATTAGGGCGTAAGAATTTAACTCCCTTTGTATCAATCAGAATCCAGCCTGCTGGGTGGACGAGAAATATGCTGAGGGATGCAGGTCACAGCTAGTACATGAGGATTGCTAGGTGAGCACTACTAGGCGTCCTTCATGTTGTCAAAAAACAGCTCACTGAAACCAGGAAATGAAGACTCTTTCTCCTATGGATTGCAGTGTCCCTCCAGAACTCTCTATTGACGAAGACTAATATCAAGCTAACTGACAAAGTTTACAGGGTCCATTATCAAAAATGGGACAAAGAACTGGGGTGCCTGGGTGGCTCAGTTGTTAAGCGTCTGCCTTTGGCTCGGGTCATGATCCCGGGGTCTTGGGATTGAGCCCTGCATCGGGCTCTCTGCTCAGCGGGAAGCCTGCTTCTCCCTCTCCCACTCCCCCTGCTTGTGTTCCCTCTCTCACTCTCTCTCTCTCTGTCAAATAAATAAATAAAATCTTTTTTAAAAATGGGACAAAGAAGAGTGCATTTGGATCTAAGAAACAATAATAACTGCCCAGTTCATCCCTTTAATTTCCATATACACCCTTCTTCATACATTCCAACTTCCATAAAACAATAAAATAAGTGTTTCCACCTAACAAGTTAGCCAACAACAATTTGTATAGAAAATAATAAAGAGAAAAAGGAAAGAGAATAAAATAGTTAAATATACAAATAAATATACTACACATAATCAGTGAAGAGAAAATAGACAAAGCTACTACAGTCCTCATTTTGGCAATTGGTTCTGAGGCCATAGTTAGTATCTGTGACTTCCTTCTTCCACTAACCACAGTAACCATTCTGGTCTTTTATACATTAGGGTGATCTGAACCTTCATTTTGGAAGGGCCCTCCAATAGTCCTGCCTTTGTTTGATTGCTGTAGTTTTCTATAACCTTTACTTTGTGTGTGGGAGTATTAAAAGTAGCCCCAGAGCCCCCAGCTCTGGTTCCAGAATCATTCTTTTTCTCCATGTAGCAACAACTTGATTTATCCATGGTAATCAGGGAATAATCATCCAGTAGAGTAATTCTTTTATCTCCCTGTTGGTTTAGTGTCATAAAAAGCCCAAATAGCCAGATGGAGTTTCATCTTCTAATTCAGTGGAACTATTATTGTATGTATTCCCTATTAGAAGCAAAGATCTCCAAACCAGCAGAACTCAAAGTAGCTGAAAGAGGAAGCAAAATTCCTGAGTTGGTTACTAAATATTAATTGTGAGAGGAGCCATCCCCACTTCCTCCCCTTGATTTCTAGATTCCAGATATGGAGGAGACAGCACCATATAAAAGTCTCTGATTCAAAGATATACTGCATACCGTAAGACAAAATCCTATCCTTTCATGGTGTCATCTCCTAACTTGATAATTTAGTCTTTCTTTAAGATTCATCCAACTTCTGCAGAGGCCAAACTGGTATGTTAAATGCAGATGTGATAGGTATCAGCATCCCAGCATGTGTCAAGTCTTTGATGGTGGTACTAATACCTGCAATTCCTGCAGGGATGCCGTATTGCTTCTGGTTTGCTATTTTGATAGAGAGGGTTAGCCTTTCTACCACAATGGCTCTCATTCCAATTATATGTTCGGGAACTGGGGAAAGAACCATAGGATATGTCTGTGGACCAACTGGTCCCACCTTAACTTACGCTAAGACTCCCATCTATCACCTTCCAATCATAGCCCCCACTGTAGCCACAGTGTCATTTTGGATCTCCTGTGATTAACATTAATACCTGAAAGATCTAGATATTCCTGTTTTTTTCCAGTGCATAGACACTCTAGCAAATGGGTGAATGTCCCTTTGGACAAGGCCTGGAGGAAGATTTATGATGTATTCATGCAGCAATGCTGCAAGATCATTCCTCATGGGAAGGAAGACTCCCACTCAATCAAAGGATTCTACATTTGTGAACTGGCTTAAGTTTGGAAACTGGGCAAGTGGCCTTGACTCTCCATTGTGGTAACTCAAGTCAGATTTTTGGCCACACAACAAAGACCAGGCTGTTCATCTCTTTTACTCCAAGGGATATCATGATCAATTAGTCACAACCAAAGGTCCCTATGGGCCAGAGCACTCTTATTACTAATAAAATCCCTTCTGCCATTTAGAGTAAACATGCCCACCTTGTCTTTTATGGTTAAGTGCTGCCACTTGACCTCTGCTACTTGGACTTCCACCATTTCTAGTGAAATCAGGGAGTTCATCACAATGGCAGCATCTTGCACGTTCATACCTTTCCCACAAAGGAGAGCAACCACAAACCTCTCTAATGTATTTCTCAATGTTTAGTATTTCTCTTCTCACTAATGTATTTTTTTTAAGATTTTTTATTTATTTATTTGACAGAGAGAGACACAGCAAGAGAGGGAACACAAGCAGGGAGAGTGGGGGAGGGAGAAGCAGGCTTCCGTCTGAGCAGGGAGCCCGATGCGGGGCTCGATCCCAGGACCCTGGGATCATGACCTGAGCCGAAGGCAGGCGCTTAACAACTGAGCCACCCAGGCGCCCCTCACTAATGTATTTTTCAATGTCTTAGTGGCAGGAGTGTCATCCAGGCCTCCCCAGGAGTTATAGTTGGAGGATAAGCATGCCATTTGTATAAGATAAATCCACTCTAACCTTCCTGTCCTCTTAAGTCTTTGGATACCCTTCTTTACTCCAGGCCAGCGAAGCTCTGGTATCTTATCCTCATTCAACAGGCTACCAGTGAGCCAAAATTTTAGTCAACCAGCCCATTAAGCTGTTAGAGCCACCTCCATTTGCATAAATTAATACATTAAATCTGGAATTTCTAGTAAGCAGCCCCATATCAATGAATTCTTCCTGATCTAGTTATGCTTTGCCTTCTTTGATCTGATACCCTTAGAATCTACTACACATGTTTCCAGGTTTCTGCTAGCACTGTATATATTAGCTAAACCTTGTGATAATTCATTTAATGTACTAGCTACTCCTTTCTGGGCCATATTGTATATCAGACTCTCTAGAGTAGACTGAGATTTGAACCTACTTATGGTTCTAGTGGCAACCAAGTATGATTGTGGTGTTTCTTACAGAGGATGCACACCCCCTTGCAAGCCATCTATCCTCAATCAGGTTATTGCCAGGTTTTCAAGCAAAACAGGGCTAGTTTCCTCAGAGTCCTGCCTTTTGGAGATGATGGATATGTTTATGGCATAAATTGTGGTGATGGTTTCATGGATGTATACTTATCTCCAAACTCATCAAGTTGTATACACTAAATATGTACAGCTTTTTGTATGTCAGTCACTTTTTGAACTCAATAATGTGGCTCTAAAAAAAAAAATTTTAGGGTGCCTGGGTGGCTCAATTGGTTAAACGGCTGCCTTCAGCTCAGGTCATGATCCTGGGGTCTTGGGATCGAGCTCTGCATTGGGCTCCCTGCTCAGTGGGGAGTCTGCTTCTCCCTCTGCCTCTGCCCCTGCCCCCTGCTCATGCTCTCTCTCTCAATCACTCTATCAAATAAATAAATAAAGTCTTTTTAAAAATAAAAATTAATTTTAAATTAAAAAAAGAATTATATTGCCTTAGGTTTTGCCAATCCCTCTATTAGAGGAAGAAGGGGATGATAAGAGGTTTACCACTGCTCAGAAGTTCTCCCCTCTACTCCTTCCTTCTGGGTTGCTGCCACCACCTAAACCAGGCAGCAGCACAAAGCAGTCTCTCACTGTCACTAACACATGCTACCCACTCTTGCCAGTTATCTCCATGAGTGTCAGGTGATACTTTCCCAAGTCAATACGACTTTTAAATGCTGAAAATATAAGGGGACATGGAGTTTATTTGAGAAGAAGGAACCTAGTAGGTTACCCCATTTAGAAAGAGCACTGATGGTGAACTAAGCTAAAATGTTGAGGAGAGGGTTTAAAGAACAAACAACTTTTTTTTAAAAGAAATAACAACTATTAAAATTCACTGGCAGTCATTATTAGTGATAACAGGTGCTTTAGGTCCAAAGAGAAATGGAGAAATAGTGCTATGAGTAAAGTAGCATTGGAAACATAATTGAGTCATATAAATCATGGGAACTTTCTAGGAACAATCATGTATTTACAGGAAGCTTATTCTTCTTGGTCTAAAATGAAAGATCTGAAGAAGGAGAAATAGACAGTAATATATTCATCAAAGACTATATCAAAAACTTTTGGAATAAAAAGTACATCTAGAATCAATGAATTGAATAAGTTCATACCTTTGTTTTGGCTAATGTTACACTCTATGATTTACACATTAGAGGATGTATCTTTTGGGGGCCCCTAAGCCATGTTATTCAGCTTCCCACATCTATTTATAACTAAATTATTAATTAGTTACCTTTCTTAAGTTCAAACCATATCTCTCCCATTGATGCCCATGCAGATGCCCTTTCAACATATTACCCATATAGTGAGTAGAGTGCTGTCCATGAAGACATCAGGATTCCTTATGGAAAATATCTAGCCAGCTAATTACTTTGTAATTATACCAAATGCAGTTGCCTTTTAGGCCACAAGTTCTTATGAGAGTAAACATTTTTTTGAGATTAAACATTTTAAAATATAAGTTGAAGACATATTAGAAAAAAATCACTATCTTTTTCCTCCCAGGAACAAAAACTAAGAGCAGATAAGAATCTAGAAAGTTACTCATCAGTGTACAAAAACAGACTTAGAGTCTTTCCTTTGCTGCCAGAGTGGTGCTGATTTCAGCGTAACAGCATCCTTCACTTGAGAAGCCCTGTCACTCATCAGTGATGTTCACTTTGGTTAATTAGAAATACTAAAATAACATGGGAATTATTTTGCTAGCCTAAAAGAGCATGAATAAATTATATAAAAGCCATGAGTAAACAGAACATTCACATTAGCTTTTCATAATGGTTCCCATCTCAACTTCACAGACTTAAAATGTCTCCAGAGTTCAATGTGACACAGTCAGAATAAAGCTCAACTGGGCTCAACCACACTTTAGATATATAATGAGTTCTTGTGCAATAGACAGCAGGCTGCAGGGGTAAGGAATCAGCTTCCTTGAAATGTATATTGGCCATACAATCATGTACACTTAAATAGAAATAAAGGATAAATTTTTTACTAAGGATGCAGTGTAACATTGGGATAAATTATTTTACTATGATGATCCATTTCAGAGGCTTCACTGAAAATAATCGTGGAGAACAAAAGGTAGTAACTACCCTTGTCTCAGGTCTCGGAAAGATACAGAGTACTGGTTCTTGCCAGAATGAATGATACCACATAGGAGAGAAGAGAACTCCTCTGACATGCTGTTTCTCTCCTCCTTTAAGAAGGACAACCACAATCCTAGTCAGGGCTGCCCCTAGGGAATTCAGGGTATAGAAAAAGATTTTGGGGATGCCTGGGTGGCTCAATCAGTTAAGCATCTGCCTTCAGCTCAGGTCATGATCCCAGGGTCCTGGGATTGAGTCCCACATTGGGCTCCTTGCTTGGTGATGAGCCTGCTTCTTGCTCTGCCTGCTGCTCTCCCTGCTTGTGCTCACGCTCTCTTTCTCTCTCTCTCTGACAAATAAAATCTTTTAAAAAAAGGAAAAAAAAGAAAAAAATTTTTGTATAGGGCCCCTATCTGTATAAAAATTTTACTTCATCCAAAACCAGCATGTCAGCATCATTCTGGTGACCCAATTTCATGCAATCCCATAAAAGAATACCTTGATGGGGGCACCTGGGTGGCTTAGTTGGTTAAGTGTCTGACTTTGGTTCAAGTTATGATCCCAGGGTCCTGGGATGGGGCCCCGCCTTGGACTCTGGGCTCAGCAGGGAGTCTGCTTGTCCCTCTGCCCCTCCCCCTGCTCCTGCTCTCTCTCTCTCTCTCTCAAATAAATAAATAAATAAAATCTTTAAAAGAAGAAAAAGAATACCTTGATTACTAGGGAGTATCCAATCTCCAGACCACCTTCCTGAAACTGGGACTTAGCCATGGGACCCTATAACAGCCCATAATATGAATCCCATAGTTATTCAGAATGGCTGATCAATTCCATGCATGATGTAGAAATAATTAGAAAATGAGATTTAAAATAATTTTCAATAGTATCAAAAAACATCAAATACTTAAGTATAAGTTTAACGAAGTATGTGAAAAACCTGTACACTAAAAACTACAAAACCTAGAAAAATTAAAGAAAACCTAAATAAATGGAGAGATATATCATGTTTGTGGATTGGAAGACTCAATATTGTTAAGATGCCAATTCTCCCCAAATTAGTTCAATCAATTTACGGAAGGGTGTCTTTTGTTGTTGTTGTTTTTAGAAATTGACAAGCAGTTTCATAAATGTATATGGAAATGCAAAGGACCTAGAAGGAACCAAACAATCCTGGAAAAGCAAACAAGCTGGAGGACTTATACTACCTGACTTCAATACCTACTATAAAACTTCAGTATTGGGGCACCTGGGTGGCTCAGTCAGTTAAGCGTCTGCCTTTGGCTCAGGTCATGATCCTGGAGTCCTGGGATCCAGCTCCCGCTCAGTGAGGAGTCTGCTTCTCCCTCTCCCTCTGCCCTTCACTCCTGTTCTCTCTCACTCATTCTCTCTCTCAAATAAATAAAGTCTTTAAAAAAAAACTTCAGTATTAAGACAGTGTGATGCTGACATATAGACATATATGGATATATGTGGATAGACATATAAATCAATGGAACTGAATAGCAAACCCATAAATAACTCACAGGTATATGGTGAGTCAAAGGTACCAGAGCAATCCATTAGGAAAAGGAAATCCCTTCAATAAATAGTATTGCTATTATAAATAAAGATGCTATGAACAGGTGATTATCCATATAAAGAAAATGAACCTCAACCCCTACCTCATACCATACACAAAAATTAATTCATGACAGACCTAAATGTAAAATCTAAAACTATAAAACTTCTAGAAAAAAATAGGAGACACGGGAGCAGGCAAATTTTCTTAGACATGACACAGAAAGCAGTAATCAGAAAAGAAAGCAAGTGATAAATTAGACTTCATCAAAATATAAAACTTCTGTTCATCAAAAAATATCATTAAAAAAGTCATAGGCAAGCCACACAATGGAAGAATATACTCATAAAATATATATCTGACAAAGGATTTATATTCAAATTTATAGTTTCCTAAAGTGAATATATAGGCAAAATCTTTGACATAGATCATTCAGAAAGAAAGATATACGAAAGGCCAATATGCACATGAAAAAGTATTCAACATTATTACTCACCAAGAAAATGCAAATTTAAACCACCATGAAATACCACTAACACCCTACAATGGCTAAAAAAATTTTAAACTGGCCATCACCTAATATTGAAAAGGATGTGGAACAAACAGAACTCTCAGACATTGTTGGTGGGAATTAAAAATGGAACACTTTGGAAAAAGGCTAGGCAATTTCAAACATAAACCTATTCTTTATTTAGAAGTTTCACTCCCAAGTATTTAGCCAAGAGAACTAAAAATACATAGCAATAAAAAGACTGTATAAGAATGTTCATAGCAGCTTTATTTATAATAGCTTCAGGATCATGGGATTGAGCCCCACATTGGGCTCTGCGCTCAGCACAGATTCTGTTTGTCCCTCTCCCTCTGTTCCTCCCCCAGCTCTCTCTCTCTTCCTCTTTCCCTCTCAAATAAATAAATAAATAAACTCTTTTTTTAAAAAAAGAAGTATGAAGAAACAAACTCTTGATACATACACCAACATGGATAAATGTCATGAGCATAATGCTAAGCAAAAGAAGCTATACACAAAAGAGAGTACATGTTGTATGATTCCATTTATAAGAATTTCTAGAATACTTGGGGCACCTGGGTAGCTCAGTCAGTTAAGCGTCCAACTCTTGATCTGGGCTCAGGTTATGATCTCAGGGTTGTGAGATCGAGCCCTGCATTGCGCTCCATGCTGGGCATGGAGCCTGCTTAAGATTCTCTCTCTCCCTTTCCCTCTGTCCGTCCCCACAATCGATCTCCCAAGCGATCATGCACACTATCCCTCTCTCTCTCTTTCAAGAATAAATAAATAAAAATTTTTTTAAGTTTAAAAAATTAGCCGGGCTCACCACATTTCCTGGTAAGACCCTGTGATCAAAAAGTTCATTTTCCCGGGACACCTGGGTGGCTCAGTCAGTTAAGCGGCTGCCTTTGGCTCAGGTCATGATCCCAGGGTCCTCGAATCAAGTCCCACATCGGGCTCCTTGCTCAGCGGGGAGCCTGCTTCTCCCTCTGCCTGCAGCTTCACCTGCCTGTGCTGTCTCTCGCTCTCTCTCTCTGGCAAATAAATAAAATCTTAAAAAAAAATTAGGGGTGCCTGGGTGGCTCAGTCATTAAGCGTCTGCCTTCGGCTCACGTCGTGATCCCGGGGTCCTGGGATCGAGCTCCGCATCGGGCTCCCTGCTCAGCGGGAAGCCTGCTTCTCCCTCTCCCACTCCCCCTGCTGGTGTCCCCTTTCTTGCGCGCGCGCGCTCTCTCTCTCTGTGTCAAATAAATAAATAGAATATTTTTTAAAAATTAAAAAAGAAAAAGTTAAAAAAAAAAAAGTTCATTTTCCCACTGCCTAAAGACTATTTTAAACCTCCTCCTCCACTCTCCTCCAACCTTCCACCTTCCCTGTCTCCTAATACAAAGAGTTACTCCCACCACTAAACCTACAGGTCTAGGGCGCCTGGGTGGCTCAGTTGGTTGAGCGACTGCCCTCAGCTCAGGTCATGATCCCAGAGTCACAGGATTGAATCCCACATCGGGCTCCCTGCTCAAAGGGGAGTCTGCTTCTCCCTCTGACTCTCTCTCACTCTCTCTCTCTCAAATAAATAAATAAAATCTTTTTAAATAAATAAATAAGCCTACAGGTCTACTAGTATCCACATTCACACCTTTCTCTTCCCTCCTATTCCAAAGAAAGAAGAGGCATTTCTTCTCTCCAATGTCAGCCCCTCTGCCTGAGCCCTAGAGTCCTGCCCCTCACCCCCACCATCCCACCTTCTCAGAAATCTTCTGCCTTTGATTATCACTTTCTTCTCTATCTTCTCTGCTGGCTCCTTTCCGTCAACTTTCAACCACACTCAAATCTCTTCCATCCTAAAAACAAAAAATATAAAACCTTGATTATACATTTTCCCTAACTACTGCCTTATTGCCCTCGCCCTTCAGAAACAAATTTCTTGAAAGAGTTATAACACTAATTGTGTCAACTTCTTCCATTTCCCTCACTCTTTGGCCACTCCAGTCTGGCTTCCACCTCCACCACTTCATTTGAAATGCCTCTTAATAAGATCACCAATAACCTCCATATCACTAAGACAAAAGAATAATTTTCAGTCCTTATCTTCCTTGGACACTAAGTAGCATTTGATAGCCCCTCCTTATCAAAAACCTTCTCAAAGTTTCTGTGACTCCATATTCCCTGGCCTAAGTCTCATTTGCTAACCTCTTGTCTTCTACCAGAACTCTATATGCTGGAGTTTCCTAGGTCAATGTCTTAGACCTCTCTCAACACATTGTACCTCTCCTGCATGATCTCATTTGCTCCCATCTATATGCCAAGGGCTCCCAAATGGATTTCTTCAGCCTAAATTTTGCTTCATACTCCAGAATAATATATTTAAATCTCTGTAGTGGTTTCAGATGTCCTAGGGGCCTCTCAAACTCTGCATGTCCAAAGTTGAACTCCCATACTTGCTTCCCATAGGACTCCCTGTATCAATGTCTGGCACTACTTTCCACACAATAGCTCAAGCCAGAGATCTAGACATCCTTGACTTTTACATTTCCCTCACCACACACATCCAATTAATCACCAAATTTTGGAAATTCTACTTTTAAATATCTTTCAAATCTTCATTATCTCTGGTTCATCCTAGTCCAAGACATTATTCCCTCTTCTTAGATTCCAGTTATAGCATGCCTAATGATCTTCTTGTCTTCAATCCCACAGGCCTCCAGTCTTTTTAACATAAAACAACCAGAAAGGTCTTTCTAAATTTACATTTAATCACTTTCCTCACTACTCCCCAGTCTGCTTAAAAACATGTAGTGACTTCCAACTGCCCTAATGATAAAATAAAAACTACTCAGTATGGCCTATCAAGCTTACCTCTACAGTTTGATTTTATGCCTCTCTCCTTCAGTCTCTTTCTTCCAACAATACGCAGACAAGTATACCAGTTGAATCCTCTGGGAAGGAATGCTGAGATGGAGTCAGAAAGGCAAAAGGCTTATTGGGAGTAAGACTTAGGAAAAGGGAGCAAGCAGGATTGGGCAAAAGGAGCCATGAGGATCGCAATACAGATCTGTAGAAGTCTTTGCCAGTCCAATGGGGAGCTCTGGAGCAAAGACTGCACAGTACAGGACTTCCACGTTAGGCACAATCTTAGTCATTGGCTGAAGCTGTAGGAGAAAAGCATAACTGCCTCTCAAAAGCTGAGGTGGAACTGAAGGAGTTAACAGCTGGCTGTCAGTGGACCATACCCTTAATAGTCCTTTTTTTGAAGGGGGAGCAGCCATTTTCATTGTCTGCCACAAGGGGGCACATAACAAAAGCCCCTTCTGAAGCCTAGGGTTTTGGGGAACACTTCCTAAGGAAGTAACATTTAAACTGAGGCCTGTTTGGTAGATTAAAATAGGCCAGGGAAGAGTGAGAGGATTTCAGACCAGGGAACAACAGTATGTGGGAAGGCTGTAAGTGGCAAGGGTGCAGGATTCTTGAAGGAACTGAAAAAGGACCCATGTGGCTGAGATCAATGTGTTGAGCACAATGTTGGTTCCAGCATGTACTCAAGAAATGAGTTTTTTTCAAACTGAATGTATATAAGATTTTTTGAGGACTTCTAATTAAAATTGCCCACCCGTGGGCCCCACACAGAGATTCTGATGCAGTAGGTCTGGTGCAGAGTCATTACCTGTGTTTGTTTGTTTTTTTTTTTTTTAAGATTTTATTTATTTATTTATTTGAGAGAGAGAGAGAGAAACAGCATGAGAGGGGATAGGGTCAGAGGGAGAAGCAGACTCCCCGCCGAGCCGGGAGCCCAATGTGGGACTCGATCCCAGGACTCCGGGATCATGACCCGAGCCGAAGGCAGTCGCCCAACCACCTGAGCCACCCAGGCGCCCCATTACCTGTGTTTTAATAAGCACTTTACCCTGAGGATTCCAAAGTAGGTGGTTTACAATACACACCTCGAGGATTGTGATAAACAGTAGCTGTTTGTCTCCCATAGACTGTGAGTTTCTCTCAGGGAGTTTACTAGCACTGAGTATAAAATATGTATTTGATAAATATTTGACGAATGAATAAATGACAAAAAATGGAGGCAGGGCCATGTAATAAGAATAGGATACCTAAAACCACCTTGTCAACTATAAATAAAATGTTCTATACTGTAAACAGTGACTTTCAATTTTTTTGACCATATCCCACACTAAGAAATACATTTTACATTGTGACTTGGCACACACACACACACACACACTATACACTATACACACAGCTCTAAAACAACAGATTGACATGCCAATAGTTAGCCTTACTGCATGTGAAGCAATCTGATATTTTCTGTTCTATTCTATCCTTTTTCAGAAAATACATTGTCTTAATGACTCATCAATGAGTCTTGTACACATTAAAAAACAATGAGTAAAGTGACATTTTTCCCACTACTCCTTGACCCACCCTGTCTCCGTTCCCCAGCATGATATAGTCTTGCTAAATTAGCAACAAGTACCTAGTTCTGTGAACTTAATTTTCAAGTCTGTACAGCTGCTTCCCCAAAAGGTCCTTCTCCCTTTCCTTTCTTGAGTGATTCCCACTTATTCTGTCCTGTCGTATGGCCTAAAAACCTTTCCCTCTCCTGGGCTAAGACACCATAGTGTTCTTGTCACTGTCACTCTGTATGGAAATTATCTGTTTACCTATCCATACCCTTCAGCAGACTCAAAACTTAGAAGTCAAGGATTGGATAAAATGAGCACTCAAAAAATGGTTTTCACATACCTGAATAAAATCAAATTGCTGTTCTATGTTATTTTGAGAGGGGAAATCTGGGTGCTGGAGGGGCAGAAGGGAGGCATGAGATAAATGATATAATTTATGGGGGTGCCTGGGTGGCTCAGTTAGTTAAGCATCTGCCTTCAGCTCAGGTCATGATCCCAGGGTCATGGGATTGAGCCCCGCATTGGGCTCCCTGCTCAGCGGGGAGCCTGCTTCTCCCTCTCCCTCTGTTGCTCCCCCTGCTTGTGCTCTCTCACGCTCTCTGTCAAATAAATAAATAAATAAAATCTTTAAATATATATATATATGTTGTTAAAAACATGAAACTTCTGTAGACAAACCAAGAGAAACCTCACATTTTCAGAACCTACAAATTCTGACTCACTAAAACTATTCACTATTAGGTTTTAGTTCAAGTAGATGCAGGTTTTTGCTCTGTGGTTTTTATACAGAGCCTAAATATTTAAATGTTTTAAACATAAATATTAACTGATTTACTGAGAAGTGATAAAGGCTTTGGTGCTTTGATTCAAACTGATTGAATCAAAGACATAACCTCAAAGTGCCGCATATGATGGCCATAAATGAGATGGACACATTGCCCTTAGAGGGGGTAGAGCGGCTGTGCTCCTCAGCAACACCCAAAAGGCCCCTTGGCTAATGTCCACCTACAAAGTGAGGAGTTGAAATTACAAGGTCTTGTCTTTTCTTCACTCGTACAGTTACTCTGTTAGTTGAATGTATTTATACTCTATTTTGGGGACAGTATTAACAAAATCCGATAACATTTTTTAAGCTTTTATTTAAATTCCAGTTAGTAAACATACTCCAATAACATTTTAAAGATGTTTGTGTTGCCTTTATAAACTATTTAGTTTTTGTGAAGATTTAAAGTATTTTTGTCATTTCTCAGTTCCCTTCCTTCACTTTAAGCATTTCTACTTAAAGGGGCTCTTGACACTTTCACTCCTCTCTCTGTCCCTAGAATCTTTCTTTTGTCTTGTATTCCCCCTCTTCTCTTGAGTAATCAGAAACCAAAAGGATCCTTGAACCGCAGCTCTTTGACAGTTGAAGGAGGTCAGGGACTACCTTTCATCATACTTTATAAAGGAGGATGCCACAGAGTGAGGCTCAACCCTTGACTCCTGAGAGGTAGGGTTGGTATTCAGCAGAGTTGGCAACAATGCAGGAATCTGAGAGGAAAATGAAGAAGTATGGTTCCTTATGAAATGTCTATTGTGCAGTCTCATTCTGTTCTTCTGGTGTACCAACTCTAGGTAAAATCAACCTAGATTTAATTTTTAGTCTCCATTTTTTCTATTAAGATTTGAAAATTGCCACATACTAGACCACCAGTAAACTGTGTATTTACCAAATACATTTGTGAAATGGACTTGCTTCCATTCTGAAAGCATGTGGTCTAACACTGAGCCCTCTACTTGTTCATGCTTAATATAGAAGAGAATTAAAAGAACTGTCATAATATTTACAATGAATGCTATGTTGTAAATATACATTTACAATACTATGCCTATTGAGACCTTTTGTCTTCTGAGATTTTTTACCAACATCCAGAAACCCTTGTCAGTTATGAGTCATATAAACAATATTAGTAGAAATTTAAAAAAAAAGAAAAAATTACTCTCAATCCCACCACTGCAACAAATCAAAACTCTTTTTATTTCCCCATTTCCTGTCCTTGCCTCTGTATCTATTAGATATTTCACTTGCAAATGACTAAATAATAAAGGAATTGCTGAAAAGTATTGCTTCAGATGAGACTTGACCCAGCAGCTCAAACTAAATCACCAAGTAAGTACTAAGTTTCTTTCATATACTCTATTCTGCCTACCACTGTGTTGCTTTATCCTCAGGCACAACATGGTAACCTTAGGGAGTTCCAGTCTCTCCCAGTATGTTAGCAAAATAGCTGCAGAAGTTCTAGATCCCACATCCTCACACCTCATCAAGCCCTAGCAAATAGTGTCTAATTAGGTTACCTGTCCATCCATGAACCAACCACTATGGCCAGGAAGATGAAGTTCAGATACACCTATATGGTATTATCAGGACCCACCTATATGGCTGAGAACTGGTGAGAAGTGGTTTCCTTAAAAACAAAACATAGGAGGGGCACCTGGGTGGCACAGTTGGTTAAGTGTCCAACTCTTGGTTTTGCTCAGGTCCAGATCTCAGGGTCGTAAGACAGAGCCCCATGTAGGACTCTGCACTCAGCATGGAGTCTGCTTGAGACTCTCTCTCCCTCTGCCCCTCCCCCCACTGCACCCCCGCATGTGCTCTTGCCCTCTCTCAAATAAATACAAAAATCTTTAAAAAAAAAATACATGCTCTTAGGAAAAATAAAGGATGCTAAACAATATATGCCTGCTACTGTGTGCAAGCTTGATTTGTTTTATCATTATAATCTCGGCCTGAATGTGATTTTATTTTATTTATTTTTATTTTTATTTTTTAAAGATTTTATTTATTTGACAGAGAGAGACAACAGCGAGAAAGGGAACACAAGCAGGGGGAGTGGGAGAGGGAGAAGCAGGCCTCCCGTGGAGCAGGGAGCCCGATGCGGGTCTCAATCCCAGGGCCCTGGGATCATGACCTGAGCCGAAGGCAGATGCTTAACAACTGAGCCACCCAGGTGCCCTTGAATGTGATTTTATATTCTGCTTTTTAAATCTATCTTCTATAGAATTATATTTCAATGTGCTGGGCCGATGATAAGCATAATTTCAATGCTGTTAGATTTATGCCATTTCTAGTGACTCTGTCATCATTTAAACTTGAATGTGAACATTGTTGACACTAATGAAAAAGCTAATGACAAGTCATTCAAATAATCTAAGCATGTAAAATTAATCATCCATGGAAGCTGTTGTATCAATGATCAATGATTATGATACATACAATGATCAAAATGATACATACAATGATCAAAACACATCTTTGGGGATGCCTGGGTGGCTCAGTCAGTTAAGCATCTGCCTTCAGCTCAGGTCATGATCCCAGCGTCCTGGGATCGAGTCCTGCATCAGGCTCCCTGCTCAGCAGGAGCCTGTTTCTCCCTCTGCCTGCTGCTCCCCCTGCTTGTGCTCTCTCTCTCTCTCTCTGTGTCAAATATTTAAATTAAAAATCTTAAAAAAAACCCCACATCTTTGGTATATAGCTTAACACAAAAATAATAATAATCCAATTTAAAAAAGAAACAGACATTTCTCCAAAGAGACATACAGATGGCCAACAGACACATGAGAAGATGCTCAATATCATTCATCATCAGGGAATGCAAATCCAAACCACCATGAGGGGTGCCTGGCTAGCTCAGTAGGAAGAACATGTGACTCTTTTCTTTAAATTTAAATTCAATTAATTAACATATAATGTATTATTGGTTTCAGGGGTACAGGTTTGTGATTCATCAGTCTTATATAATATCCAGTGTTCATTACAACACATACCCTCCCCAGTGTCCATCACCCAATTACCCCATCCCTCCACCCCCTTCCCTCCAGCAACCCTCAGTTTGTTTCCTATGATTAAGAGTCTCTTATGGTTTGTCTCCCTCTCCGGTTTCATTTTGTTTCATTTTTTCCTCTCTTCCCCTATGATCCTCTGCCTTGTTTCTTAAATTCCATATATCAGTGAGATCACATGATAATTGTCTTTCTCTGATTGACTTATTTCGCTTAGCATAATATCCTCTAGTTCCATCCACATTGTTGCAAATGGCAAGATTTCATTTTTGATGGCTATGTAATATTCCATTATATATATACTTATTTATCCATTCATCTGTCAATGGGCATCTTCTTTATCCATTCATCTGTCAATGGACATCTAGGCTTTTTCCGTAGTTTGGCTATTGTGTACATGAGCATGTGACTCTTGATCATGGGGTCGTGAGTTCGAGCCCAAAATGGGGTGTAGAGATAACTTAGAAATAAAATCTTAAGGAGCACCTGGGTGGCTCAGGTCATGATCCCAGGGTCCTGAGATCGAGCCCCGCATTGGGTTCCCTGCTCAGCAGGAAGCCTGCTTCTCCCTCGCCCACTCCCCCTGCTTGTGTTCCCTCTCTTACTGTGTCTCCCTCTGTCAAATAAATAAATAAAATCTTAAAAAAAATAAATAAAATCTTAAAAAACAAAACAAAAAACACCATGAGATATCACCTCACACCTGTCAGAATGGCAAAAATCAAAAACACAAGAAACAGGGATGCCTGGCTGGCTTAATCAGTAGAGCATGCAACTCTTGATCTCAGGGTCATGAGTTCAAGCTGCATGTTGGGGGTAGAGTTTACTTTAAAAATTTTTTTAAAAACAAAAATACAAGAAACAAGTGTTGGTGAGGATGTGGAGAAAAAGAAACCCTGTTGCACTGTTGGTGAGAATGCAAACTAGTGCAGCCACTCTTGAAAACAGTATGGAGGTTCCTCAAAAAAGTAAAAATAGAATTACCCAATATTCAGTAATTACACTACTGGGTATTTACCCAAAGAATATGAAAACACTAATTTGAAAAGATATATGCAGCTTTGTGTTTATTGCAGCATTATTTATAATAGCCAAATGATGGAAGCAGCCCAAGTGTCCACGGATAGATGAATGGATAATGAAGATGTGGTATATATACAATAGAATATTATTCAGCCATAAAAAAAGAATGAAGTCTTGCCATTGCAACAATCTGAATGGATCTAGAAAGTATAATGCTTAGCGAGATAAGTCAGTCAGAGAAAGACAAACATAATATGATTTCACTCACAGGTGGAATTTAAGAAACAAAACAAATGAACAAAGAAAGAAAGATAAATCAGAAAACAGACTCTTAACTATAGAGAACAAACTGATGATTACCAGAGGGGAGGTGGGTGGGGGGATGGGTGAAATAGGTGATGGGGATTAAAGAGTACACTTATCTTGATGAGCACTGAGTAATGTACAGAAACGATGAATCACTATATTGTACACTTGAAACTAATATAACACTACATGTTAACTATACTGAAATTTTTAAAAATAAATAAATAAATAAACCAGTATCACTAAGGCTGAAAAAAAGAAAAACCACATCTTGTGTGGTCAAGAGTTTAAGACCAAGACTTTCAGTGAATATTTATTCACTGCTTTATTTGCTTATTCAACAGACATTCAGCAAGTGCCCATGTGTACCAATGTGTCCTTAGCAGTGGGGAATAAAAAGATTAAACAAACCTGGTCCCTGACCTCAGGAATATATGGTTTTTATCAACCTTTTCCCTAAACCTCATTCAGGGTTTTGTAATTGTGTTTTCTGTATAATTTACTTTGATGTAGCAAAATTCAGTAACAACCTCAAGTTTATATCTCTGATAAGTTTCTTCCCTGGAGCAACCTGGACGTTATTTCAGGCTTCAGACAGACTCTCAAGCCACAGGACTGCAGTGTCTGACTACAAAGCAGATTTTTGCCTATCTGTTTATGTGCTTCCAGAACTCATTATCAGCATATAATAATTCCTAGAGATATAAAGGAAGATTTGACTAAATAGAGACATTACCATATTCCTGGATGTCAATCCTTCTCCAATTAATGTATTTTTAAGTACAATTCTAATCATCTTCAAATTAATTTTTTAATTATAACATGATTTAAAGATAATGTGACTATCTTCTGGAAGAATATAAAATAAAAAATGAGTGAAGATTCTCTCTTCAAGAAACTTTAAATGTTTTAAAAACTATAATTAAAACAGTGAAGAATTCCAAATAACATATGTAGAGAGTCCACCCCTAGGATGCATAGCTTAATTTCTGCCCTCTCCCCTCCAAGGGTCGGTTATACTTACTCTCTATGAAAGGATAGGGCAGGGAAAGGGAAAAAACAGTAACTTTACAGTGAAGAAACTTGGCAAACATGACCCTAACCACATGATGAGAGTTAACATCATCAGTGATGTCAACTGACTATCATTTACCCCTGATGGGATATGCAGAGAAGAGCATCAGCTCATAAACCCAGTTTAATCATGAGAAAAACATTAGACAAACTCAGATTCGGGGACATTTTACATAATACTTAGCCAGTACATCTCAAGACCATCAAAGTCATGAGAAACAAGGAAAGACTAAGAAACTACCATGTACCAGAGAGACTAATAGAAGTTAGGGACTCCTGGGTGGCTCAGGCAGTTAAGCATCTGCCTTTGGCTCAGGTCATGATCCCAGGGTCCTGGGATGGAGTCCCACATCAGGCTCCCTGATGAGCAAGGAGCCTGCTGCTCCCCTTGCTTGTGTGTGTGCACGCGCACTCTCTCTCTCTCTGATAAACAAATAAAATCTTTTTTTTAATGTCAAAAAAATTAAAAATTAAAAAAAAAATTTTTTTTTAAGTCATAACCACTAAATGCCCTGGATTGAAACAGAAAGAGAACATTAATAGGAAAATGGGTGAAACTCAAAGTCTTGCATTTGGCTAATTATAATGTACCAATGTTAGTTTCTTAGTTTTGAAAAATGTACCATGGTAATTAATGTAAGATGTTAACAATGGGGGAAACTGAGTGAGGGGTATACCAGAGCTCTCTGTACTCTCATTATAACTTTTCTGTAAATCTAAAATTATTCTAAAATAAAAGTTTATTTTAAAAAATAGCATGATGTTGGCATATTTACACATAGATAGAGCAGTAAGATTGAAGATATTGCCTAGAAATAGATTTAGTATATAAGAATATAAGAAAAAGAAGGTATTATAAATTATGGGTAATATATATACTATTCAACAAATAAGGTTGGACCACAGTTGTTCAGCAATTTGAAATGAAATCCAACCTGACACTTACTTCCACGTATTCATCTATGAATAATCTATAAATGTTTACTGAGCACCACCTATATGCCAGACATTATGTTAGGTATTAACACTGCTCCTGCTCTCAAGGTACTTACAATTTAATGAGAAATGAGACATGAATAAGTAATTAGAAATGTAATTATTGTAAAGAGAAAATTCTGAGTGTTCAAAGGGTTCCTAACCTAGTACAAGGCATCAAGGAAGTCTTAGACTCAGAAAGTGACATTTAGGCTAACATCTAAAGACCGGCAGAAATTAGTCAGATAGCAAGGGAGTGAAGAGTATTCTAGGAAGAGAGTACAACCCAAGTAAAGGCCTGAGATGTATGAGATGACCTAAGGAGAATGGTTTGTGTGGCAAGAACAGACAAGAGCTGAGGAAATAGTCCTAAGGTACCCTAACACTAAAGAATGAACGGTGGAGAAAGAGCCAGGCTTAAGACAGAGAAGCAGAGATGTACAGGGAACTCCAAAAGAGAATGGCAATATTAAAGCCAAGAACAGAAATTGTTAAATGCTGCTAAAGGTTATAGTGTCCTTTGGATTTAGCAACATGAGATTATTAGTAATCTTAATAAGAGCATTGGAATGATAGGAATGAAAGCCAGATTAAGTGGTTTGAAAAGGGCAAGGAATAGAACTTCTGGTTTGAAGATGGCAAAATGATCAGTTACAGCAGTCTTAAAAATGCACTCCTTTCACCAGACTGAAAAATGCATTGGGAAGGGAGCACTAGCATCCCTGGAAGGCTCTGTATTGCCATTCTCTGCAAGACAGTGGGAAATGCTGTCATTGAAATGGACTTCCTGAATTCAGTGTGCGATAAGAGTGATGGAGGCCAAGTGGAGCACTTAACTGTTAAAAGATAAGGCAGGCATCTCTCTTGTTCTGGTGTGCGTGGGGGCAGGGGGCGCACATGGGCAAAGATAACCAGAGCAGGGCACTTTTACTTGGCAGAAACAATACACCTTCATTATCTTGTCTCAAGTCTGTGTCAACTCTCCAATTCTCTGTCATAATCTAGACTGTATAGAGGCTTTGATCTATCATCTTTCCATATTATGTAACCAACTTCCATAGGTAGTTGATTCACTACCTTGATAACATCTTGCTGACTATACCTAACAAACAGGAAATTGCTTAACAATTACCTTAGAGGGGCACCTGGGTGGCTCAGTCGTTAAGCTTCTGTCTTCGGCTCAGGTCATGATCCCAGGGTGCTGGGATCGAGCCCAGCATCGGGCTCCCTGCTCAGCGGGAAGCCTGCTTCTCCCTCTCCCACTCCCCCTGCTTGTGTTCCCTCTCTCGCTGTCTCTCTCTGTCAAATAAATAAATCAAATCTTAAAAAAAAAAAAAAAACAAACCAATTACCTTGGAAGCCTTTGTAAGACATGTGCATGCCAGAGGGCAGAAGATAAACATTATAAAAATTAAGGAGACTGTTACATTGATGAATTTCCAGGGGTCTAATAGTCTGAGGCATGTAAAGATATGAAATGGAGAGTAGTATAGAAATACCATTATTCTCTGAAGTCAATTACAGCCAGATATGTGGGAAGGCATGAAAGCCATAGTAGCTTCCCAGAGAGCTCTTGAACACTACCTGCTTCTGCTTCACTACTGCAGACTAAGACAATTGGCTCTCAGGTGCTTGAGAATTATGGTACCTTCTCAGCAAGCTCTTGAGAACTACTCATTTCTTGGTAGGACCTGATCTTTGATGGTGGTTTCTCCAACCTGATTTTGAACTTCTAGCTCCGGGACTGTGAGAAAATAAATTTCTGTTTTTTAAGCTATTTGGTTTGTGGCAATGTATTACAGCAGGCCTAGGAAATTAACTAACTAACACAGTCAGCATTAGGTGTTGATTGGTACTTCTTCATTATATTATAAATGTATATCTTTTGTTGGATATTTGGGTCACAAGTAATTTCCTCCAATTTGCCACTTAGCTTTTTACTTTGTCTATGAAGCCATTGATGTACATGATTTTTAACACAAAAGATATAAACTTTTCCCTTCATGTTTTGTGCTTTTTGTGTCCTGTTTAAGAAATCCTTCATACTTAGGGTGCCAGTGTGGCTCAGTCAGTTAAACATCCAACTCTTGGTTTCACCTCAGGTCATGATCTCAGGGTCATGAGATCCCTCTGCCCCTCCTCCTGCTCACTCTCTCTCTCTCAAATAAATAAATCTTTTTAAAAATATACAAAATATAATTAAGAAATCCTTCAGGGGCGCCTGGGTGGCTCAGTTGGTTAAGCGACTGCCTTCGGCTCAGGTCATGATCCTGGAGTCCCTGGATCGAGTCCCACATCGGGCTCCCTGCTCGGCAGGGAGTCTGCTTCTCCCTCTGACCCTCCCCCGTCTCATGTGCTCTCTCTCTCTCTCTCTCTCTCTCTCTCTCTCATTCTCTCTCTCAAATAAATAAATAAAATCTTTAAAAAAAAAAAAAGAAATCCTTCATACCCTGAAATGAAGATATTCACCCATATTTTCTTCTAGAAGTTTTTATGAATGGTATAAGATTGTAATTTTCTTCAATCAAATGCTCCAGCACCATTTAATAAACTGCCTATTCTTTGGCATGCAATTTCATCTTCATCATTTATCACATTCCATATTTGAAGAAGTCTATTTTTGGTCTCTTTCTTCTGTTCCATAGATCTATTTGTCTATCTTTGCACCCATAACACATTAATGACTATAATTTTATAGCAGTGGTTCTCAACCAGGGGTGATTTTACCTCTCAGGGGACATTTGGCAATATCTGGAGACATTTTTGGCTGTTAAAAACTGAGTGTAGGGATGTACTATGGCATCTAGAGGGTATAAGTTAGAGATGCTGCCAAACATCCTACAAGGCACAATACAGTACCCCCACAACAAAGAATTATCCCACCCCAAATATAAATGGCACCGAGGTTGGGTTTTTTTAAGTATAATTTTTAAGTATAATTAACATACAGTGTTGTATTAGTTTCCGATGTACAATATGATTCAACAAATCTATACATTACTCAATGCCCATCACAGTCAGTGTACTCTTAATCCCCTTTATCTATTCTATCCATTGCTCCACCCAACTCCCTTTTGGCAACCACCAGTTTGTTCTCTGTATTTTAAGAGTCTGTTTTTGTTTATCTCTTTTTTGTGTGTTCATCTGTTTTGTTTCTTTAATTCCACATATGAGTGAAGTCATATGGTATTTGTCTTTCTCTGACCAACTTATTCTGTCTAGCATTATACCCTAGGTCCATCCATGTTGTTCCAAATGGCAAGAGTGCCTGAGTAATATTCCATTATACACATATAATATATATATATATTCTTTATCCATTCATCTATGGATAGACACTTGGGTTGCTTGCATGTCTTGGCTATTGTAAATAATAGAGAGCCCTGCTTTATAGGAGACTTGGAATCTAATAGGACAGTACATTATCTCACTGAATCCTCACAATAACTCTATGTCATAGGTACTATCACTATCCTTACTTTACAGATGAGAAAACTGAGGCTCTGAGGTTGAGTGACTTGTCCTAGATCACACATTTCTCAGTATTTGGAGGAACTTGTATAAAAACCTAAGTAAAACTTCCTAATATAAGATAGTTCTCATCATGTCCTAAGACAGGGCTTCCAAATCCCAGCAAGTTGTCCATTGACTGATTTTATCAGAAAACTCACTGTATATCCTTTATGTGCCAACCTGGGCTAAATGGTGGGAACACCCAGAAAGCCCCTGCCCTCATGGAGTTCATAGTCTAGTGGGGAGATAAACTTGGGAATAATCTCTCCTAAAAAGGCTTTTGCAGAGGGTAATCACTTTAGTTTCCTATCACAGGACACTGCTTTAAAGTCTTCAAGGAGGGATGCCTGGGTAGCTCAGTTGGTAAAGTGTCTGCCTTCGGCTCAGGTCGTGATCCCAGGGTCCTGGGATGGAGTCCCACATCAGGCTCCTTGCTCAGCAGGGAGTCTGCTTCTTACTCTGCCTGCCTCCTCCCTCCTTATACTCTCTTTCTCTGACAAATAAATAAAAAAATCTTTTTAAAAAATAAATAAATACAGTCTTCAAGGAAATTTGTCATTCTAAATCCCAAATTTTGTTTAAAATATGAATTTTAATCTAACAAAAAGGGTTTGTTAGGCAAGGTTCAATTTTAACCCAGTCCCTGTTCAAGTTATTGTAAATTCCAAATAAACTTACCTAGTAGAACTTTACTGTGTTTAGGGGTATACAAATGTAGGGCAATAACTGTAGAAAAAGGTTTATAAAGATTGAACAGCAATGTTCATGAAAAAGACCAACAACTAAATCTTTTCTTTTGTTTAGAGAAAATGCTCGTCAATTGTATCTGAATTAATAGCAGGGAATCTGTGATAAAACCGCAGAATGAAAGTTAGTACCATTTAACCTCCCTCCCTCCACCCACCCCAGCTTTTTAGAAGTTTGGAAGGAAGGCCTGCAGGGTCATTAAATTCTCTCTGTGGTAGCAGGATGGATGTGTTAGTCTCAAACCATCCATAATAGATGGGTGTCTAGTCTAGCCTTAGAAATCTATTCATATGGTGATTGCTACACAGCCTCCCTCAGCAGTTAAGTGTTTTTAGAATTTTAATATTTATTAAATCCAAGCCTCATCAACTTATTTCCAAAGCCCAGATAATGGCAGGCAAGATTTGTTGTAATTGATTTGTCACCTGTCCATCCCTTGCCAGGTTCTCATCTTCCATGCCAGGCACTTTTCAATGTCAAATGACTTCCTTTCTCTCCTAATTGCCAGACTTTCTTCTACTTAGTATTACATCACCTCTACCCTCCTCTCCTCCCATTTGTGCCTCGCCTCTCCCTTCCTGGGTGCTTGACTCTCAGTCTCCTTTAGATCCAATTCTTGGAAGAAGAGCACTTCTGATTCTAGCTGCTGGATTTTGCAACTTTTCCATTACCTGCCTTAATTTTTCTGAACAGTAATGCTTTAGGCATAGGATTAAAATATCTAATTGTGTGTCACTGCATCTGGCGAAGGGAAATTGATGCCCGTTTTGTAATGTTACATTCATGAGAATTAATCTAGCTTTAAAATTTTTACCCAGAGGGTGCCTGGGTGGCTCAGTCGGTTAAGCATCTGCCTTGGGCTCAGGTCATGATTCCAGGGTCCTGGGATCGAGCTCCGCATCAAGGCATCTGGCTCCCTGCTCAGCAGGGCGTCTGCTTCTCCCTCTCCCTCTGCGCCTCTCCTTGCTTGTGTGCTCTCCCTCTCACTATCCCTCTCTCTCAAATAAATAAATAAATAAATAAATAAAATCTTTAAAAAATAAGATAAAAATTTTTACCCAGTGATGCTCACATTACAAATTTAGCCATTTTTACACCATTTTCACCTGTGTATTTCTCTCTCCATCATGCACTTGTGTCCTGATCACCCCACTTCTCACTCCTCTCTCCGCTTCATCTCTCTCCTCCAGTTGAAGAGATAGGTGTATAGGAAAAGTGTATTTGTAGGTCACAGAATGGAAGTTCAAGAGGGTACAATGGAATGATTGAGGAGCAAGGCAAGAAAGGAGGGCAGTGTCAGTTGAGGAGATGTATAGAACAGGTAGAAGGGAGAATCAGAAAGGTAAGGTGATCCCAGTGAATGGGATTCATCCTGAGAGTCCCATGGAGGAAGCAGCATTTACCCTGATCCCTATTCTCCTCAGGGCAGTGCTTTTTTTTCCTACCCTAGAACCTCAGGTGAATTTCTCACTTCAAGTGTCTGGAAGAGTGATTGAACCAGAGTCATCTGTCTTTCTCATAGATAAAGGTGTCAGGTCTGTCACTTCTGAAGAGAAGGTCTTAGGAGAAGAGCTCAGCTCCTCTGGTTTCTAGCCTGCCCTAATCTTGCGGCATCATCTTGGCTGTATCTGGGAAGTGGGAGATAAGAATACTGTTTCTTATCTATAAAACACTGGCTCTCTGGCTATAGATCTAATTTAGATTACAATCTCCTAGAATCATGTTTAGCAATGTTACATAGGAAGAAGCATAAACCATGGTATCAGATAGACTTGGTTCAATTTTCAGCTCTGCCACTCACCAGCCATATGACTTTGAGAAAATTAGTCTCCCTACGCCTCAGTTTTCTCATGAAGATTAAAGTACCTACATCATAGGTTATAGAAGGAATTAAATGAGATGATGTATGAAAGCTTCACAACACTATGAGGGCTGACTGAGATTGTACCAATTTGTTCCACATGGCACAGAGTATGCCCTCAATAAATATTTGTCACAACTGAATGAGTGAGTAGGCACTTAACAAATTGTACCTGGATACCCCTTTGTCCAGGCTG